AATCGCATTGAGGCTTGTATGTTGCGTGTACTATCTTGTACGCCCAACTTACTCCCCTATTAATCCATTATTCCCATTAAGCTCTTAATACTTTAATATAAAGCCCCAAAACATAGATCTGACTTCCTTGAGCTGGAATAACACATAAAGTTGCTAACTTTACATTTATGCATGTCTAAATGAAGCTACTAAGCTTAGAAATGGCTTAATAAATGGCTTAATGCATGCATGATGACTAATACCCCCATAAAGTTGGTACTTTTATGCCAATGAAGCCTCAAACAATTTTAGATTTAAAGAAATGACCCTTTCAAATCATCCCAAACCATCAGTCTAACCAAAAGGGACCAAAAGTGTGTGAAATCAACCCATAAAGAAAACTAGACATTGACAAGTCAAGGTTTGACCATAAGACCTTAAGAAGCTTGGAAATTGATGAATGGTTTTGGATCTCAAGTCTCCCTCCAAGCTATGAACTTCACTCTCTTCTAGGTTCTTCAAAGATGGACCAAATCAATACAATTTTCTCTTCAAGAGCTCAAAAATGCAAAATGGAGGCTAAGGGGATGTTTTGGGTTTTCTGGAGGTTTATGGCCAAGAAATGAGGCCAACCCTATAGGTTACAAATGAATATATAGGCTGCAACACCCCATTTTAGGGTTTCTAGAAGTCACGCGTACGTCCAACGTACATAAGTGTACTCCCAGCATACACACTCGGTGTCCCGATTTGTCTCAAGCTAGTACACTAAGCATATCAAGTGGTACGCCCCGCATAACACCACCAGCTTCTCAGCTAGTACGCTAAGCGTACCAAGTGGTACACCTCGCATACTACTCCAAGGGATAAAAATGAAACTTTGAATTAATAAACGGCAAAAGAGAACATATCAAGATCAGGGTGTTATAGTGTATTTGGTATAAGAAGGATGTTATTATCTATATATGTGAAAGTATGTGTATTTGGTATAAGTAGGATGTTATTATGTGTGTATGTGAATGTATGTGTATTTGGTGTATATGTGGCATATGTGTGTGAAAGTATGTGTATTTGATGCTCTTATGTATTATGTGAAAGTATATGGTTTGGGTATAAGTAGCATGCTATTATGTATGTATGCGAATGTATGTGTATTTGGCAAGGTTCTAAATAATGTAAGGCTTGACATTGCCAAGGCGTGACTTGGCGGCAATGTCAAGCCTCAAGCTTTTCTGAGCTTTGGCGAGGCACGTGGTTTGTAAGGTGTGACTTAAGGCAGCAATCTTGTATATAATTAATATTTTTATATGTATTTTCAACTATTATTCTATTTTATACACATATATGAGTTAATGCAGTGCTTTGATAAAGCTTGGCAGTAGACACAAGCATTGGAGCCATGGTGCGTCATAGCGCAGCCATGACGAGCTTTTTAGAAACTTGGTATTTGGTGTATATGTGGTATATGTATGTGTATTTGGTATAAGTAGGATGCTATTATGTATATATGTGAAAATATGTGATTTTGGCATAAGTAGGATGTTATTATTGAAGAAAAAAACAAATAGAGTAGGATGTTATTATTGAGAATGCTAATTTTTGTAAAAATAAAAAAAAAACAATATGAATTCTAAAAATAAAAAATAAAGTAGGATGTTATTATTGAGAATGCTATTTTTTGTAAATATATATAAATTGTAAAAACAACAAAAACATAAGTAAACCACGACAATTGAAAACAACAACATAATATAATTGTTTAAAATACAATGCTATAATTGAAAAAAAAACAAAAAAATATGTTATAAATAATAAAAATATAAAAAGGTACAACAGTAAGATGCTATAAAAGTACAATGTTACAAATAAAGTAGGATGTTATTATTGAGAATACTAATTTTTGTCAAAAAAAACAATATTGATTCTAAAAAAAATAAAGTATGATGCTATTATTGAGAATGTTAGTTTTTGTATATATAAAAAAATTGTAGAAAAAACCAAATAAAGTAGGATGCTAATTAAAAAAATGGATTGTAATAATAATAATAATAATAATTACAATAATAAAGTAGAATACTATTATTGACACTGAAAAAACATAAAGTAAACCACTATAATAGAAAACAACAACGTAATATAATTGTTTAAAATACAATGTTATAATAGACAAAAAAACAAAAATAAAATGTTATAAATAATAAAAATATAAAAATATACAATAGTAAGATGCTATAAAAGTACAATGTTGATTTGGATCGAATGTCTTGGGATCCATGTGTTGCTATGTTGTTAGTGAGTTTTGAAGCAACTTTGTTAAAATGTTATCAAGAGCATAAAGTTGATGCAAAAGAATATTTTTTTGCAAGTCAGAGGGTATGAGGATATCCCGTGAGCCTTATCCACCCCCCCCCCCCCTCGCACACATGATATGGATGTTGATAATTAGAGGAAAACGGTTGAGTATTTCCAAACGGACGAACACAAAGTTGCTTCAGAAAGGAACAAAAAAGTCTGTCAAATGCAAACGACCGTGAATTGTGGAGGGTTGAGCTCGTATAGCAATACTTGCTATAAGAAGGTAACATACGATAAATGTAATTATTTATTTAAAATATAGTCTAGACTTTAATGTTAAACAGAACCTTAAGAAAGTGGAAACGTTTCGTAAGGCTCATTCCGATAGGAATGATGTATTTTTTAGTTTCCAAGCGAACCAACAATACGTAAGTATTTAATCATAATTTTATCATATAATTAAGTGTTTATTTATACTTAATTGTTAATCACTTTTGGAAAATATAGAATCAGTTAGTGGAAGAGCTATTAAAACAAAAGCAAGGGTCAGAAGGTGAAAGAGAGTGAACACCGACTTCGGAAAGAGCTGTTTTTGAGAAAGTATTAGGAGAACGACATGGCCATATTAGAGGCATCGGCCAGAAACCTTTAATTATCCCGCTGATTTCACAACCATCGCAACCACCACCACAACCATCACAGGTAAAACAAGATTATTTATTTCAATAAATGCATATTGATTTGGTAATTTTTTGTGGTGATTATTTTCTAAAGCTTTGGTAATTGGTTTTTTTATCCCAAGTGCAACAAATAACAATGTACTTTGTTTTTTTTGTCTTAGTTTAAAAATAATGATGTACTTTGGCATCAACAAATGCATGTTGATTTGGTAATTATGCTTTTATCTCAAGTGCAAGATATAACAATGTATTTTTGGTATTTCTTGTATTTTAAGTACAAGAAATAGCAATGTACTTTGGTATTTCATATATTTAAGGTTCTTTAGCACAAATATAATAAATTATTTAATTCAAAGTTTCATGTATCTATACAATGATCAATAAATACATGTTGATTTGGTAATTGTGTTCATGTTTTAAGTGCAATAAATAAAAATGTACTTTGGTTTTTATCACTTGTTTAAAAACAACAATGTACTTTGGCATCACAAAACGCATGTTGATTTGGTAATTTTGGTTTGTGGTGATTATTTGCTAAAATCTTTGGTAATTAGTTTTTTTGTCCCAAGTGCAAGAAATAGCAATGTACTTTGGTTATTTTGTCATAGTTTAAAAATAGCAATGTATTTTGGCATCGATAAATGCATGTTGATTGGTAATTTTGTTTTTGTCACAAGTGCAAAAAATAGTAATGTACTTTTGGTGTATCTTGTATTTAAGTGCAAGGAATAGAAATGTACTTTGGTAGTTTTTGTTTATGTTTGATAATTTAACTTATAAGTGTATATATGTTGTTATTAATCATGTAGTTGAAAATCTTCAGGCAATGCTCAACGACTCGACATGTATGGAGTAGCTTTATGCGTTTTTTCAATCGGGGAAAAATTTAGGAGGAAACTATAGGAACGGAGATGATGGTTCGTTGGATAATTAATTTGTGTTTTGTATGTTACATTTGTCGTGGCACTTTGCTACTTGTTAGAATTGTAAAACTTTAGTTGTTTATTTTGGTATGAAATTAATTATAATAGTATTTTGTATCTAATAAGATGTTATTATGTAATTTTTTTTCTGCATATAATTTTGTTATGTATTGGTTTTTATGCACCCAAAATTGTTGATTAAAAATAAATAAAAAATAAAAAATGTTATTACTGGCAATAAGTGGTATTACAGGCGAAAATAGCATTAGCAGTGATACTGGTTATTAGCGGCGACAAATATTTTTGTTGGCGACATTTTGAGCAATGACGACAAAATAGTAGCGGCGACTTTTTACCGGCGACGCATCGCCGCTATTAGCTTTACCTGCGAAAATTGTGGGCTTTAGCCGCGACTTTTGTCGTCGTTAATCCCATTTTTCGTTTATTAATGACTAATTCCAAAAAAAACCTTCAACTATGTATTTTTTTCGGAAAAATCTCCCAAATCTTCTAAATAATACAAGCATCGACTAATATGAGTTTGTTATTCTTTTGTTTAACAATTTCAAACCTAATGTGTTTTTCACTTAAATATCAAGGTTTAGTAACCATATGGCATTTCAAAATTTTCAAAGTATTTTAACCCTACACTTGGAAAATTGGCCGGCGCCGGAGAATAGCTTTGAGAAACACCATTGATCTGAAACTGAGAAAACGACACGTTGAAAATAATTCGTTTGGTTCCATCAACGAATTACATGATCACCGTTTTAGAAATATTCGTTTCAAATTTCAATATATGCCCAAAAAGAATCAGTTAATAAACATTGATATAATTGGTTATCATCTAGGAAAAAAAAATCAGACATGGGTGCGTGATCGAAGATTTTGAACATTTGAAACCGAAATTAGATTTTGCATCGAAAAAAGAATCAATGGAATTTAATCATTTATCATATCTAAACACTTACCCTTTCAAATTCAAAATTTACTTTGAAGTATCAATGATCCAATACATTTAGTATGAAATTCCAATGCAATTGTATAAACAAATACACATTTCTTGTTTCTGATGAATACGAACTAGTTTCCTGAATCCAATCTAGTGTAAGAAAGTTGCAGATCAACTGTTCACCGGAATGCTCATTGAAGAAACCGACGAACTTCTTTGAACTTGTGCGTCTCGATCAGTTCTTGCCCTCTCAACCGCCTCTATTCTTGGTGGCGGAACTTCAAGATTGTTGGTGGCGGGCGGCGACAATGGCAATCTCGACAGAAAATTTGGATTGTGGAATCTCTCGTCCTCAAAATTGAGGGAGTAGCTTAAGGGATCATAGTTAAATTCCTTTTTAGAATGTCGCCGGTGGCTGTTGATGATGGTTCCACCGCTACTCCGGGTACGGCAGTGCTTGCCACCGTCGCCTGGATTGTAATCCACCAGCGCCGCCAGGTCGTTTAACCTGAGCTTTGATCTCAACCAAGTTGACGGTGACTTTTTGAGGGTTGGAGATGGCGATGGCGTGGGCGAATGAAAGTGAGAATCTGAATGACGGTTGAAACAAGAGATTTTCAGCGTTTGTTTCCTTCTTCTGTCACGGAAAGATGGCGATATCGTCTTATGGTCGTCCTCCATTGTTGTTGCAGATTGAAGGTATTTGGTTCTCTGTGTGTGGGGAGCAATTGGGAGTGATGTTGTTGGATTTGATTCGGTGTATTAGGGTTTTGATGACGTGAAGATGGGTGGGAATGTGGGATATATACGACAAAATCCTTGATGCACACGTATGTCTATCTGTTGGTGTGTATACAACTTTACGTAATAATAACAACTATTTGTTACCTTCTTTGTGAATGACTTTTTGCGATTATTAAACTTACCTAAGATAAAATGTAAGGAATTTAAATTTAAAAATAGGATAATAAAAGTTATTAGATGATTACTAGAAATATAGGGAAATTATCTAATTTTTACTTAAAATAAAGGATACATTTTGTATACAACTATCTACTTTGATAAATCAAAATTATTTTGACAAATGTTACTTTCTCAGATACTTAGATTTTAGAATTATTTAAATTTGGAATATCATTATGTGGAATTTTCAGTTTTTTATCAATTAACAATTCTATTAATTAATACATGTATTATATATGTAAAGATTTAATTAAATTAAATATGTAAATCAACCATTTTAGATTTATTTATTTCCTACTTTTTCTAATCTCCTTAGCTTAATGCACAATAATTGATATTACGACTTTCATTCTGACATTTCAATAGCAAGATAATCTTTTCCAAAATAAATCAAGGAATTTTTTACATGGAATTCGATTTACCATGTTATCAATCATGCGGGTTCTGTTCCGGTTTAATGATACAAATCCTCATGTAATCTTTTCTAAAACTTGTTTAATGTTAAACGTTGATATTGAACTTTTATTTTTAATACAACTGGATAGTAGATTTTGCACCTAATAAATAATATACTTAAATTTGATATATATTAACATACTATGTGTGAGATCCATATATTATATGGGTTTAATTAACAAAAGACAAATATAAAATTTTAACAATTTGAAAAGTTTGAATTTATAAGAAAAATGAGAAAATTTTGAATTATTAAAATTAATGAGACTTTAATGTATTGATTACATCATATATATAAATTTTTTCTAATAAATATTTTACATATATATTACCTTACACATTAAATGTGGAATTTTAAATTAATAAAATGAAAAATAATATAAAATAACAAGTGAAAAATAGAAAATTTAAAATATCTAGAAAATGTTATGTATCCAAATGAATGAAAAGAAACCATAAAAAAAAAAAAAAAAAAAAAAAAAAAAAAAAAAAAAAACCCTTCATTTATTATAGTAGATATAATTCCCCTACAAATGAAAGGGTGCCACACCATTCAAATGGATCCCACCCTCTATTATTAATAACATACATATGTTTTTTTTCTTGGAATACAAGTTAAGCAAGTGCTGTAGTGTTTCCAGGAGTAGCTAATTTCATTTTCTATTTTTGGTAAGGAAATGACACTGGATTATTAGGGTCATGAGGAATGATTTATTTACTTTGTCTAATAATAGCCATATGCCCATTTTCTTGTTCTCCTCTCTTTTTACCTTCAGCTAGCCTATATGGGATCATTTTTTCCACACTCCAACAAAGCATAGCAGTGAGGTACAAAATTATCCCACATTACCATTTAAATTAAAGTAACTTTGGAAAAGATTTTTAAAAATATGAAGCATGGGTGACATATAGTAAAAATATATGGAGTTAATAAATTAAAGTTGGTTCCAAAGGTTGACGTTGTATGTGTTTGAACTTTCTACTATATAATGATATATGCTAAAACATATGTACGTAATAATATAAATATATAATTACCAATATTTCCTATTAGAAAAGCAATTTAATAGGATTTTAGATGGATGAGAATCTCGATCTTGTGAGGAACTCAGTCCAAAGGGATGGTGAATCAAATTCTCCATGTTAAAGTATCTCTCGATCAAAATAAATAGGTTGGGGAAGGACTTCAAAAGAGATTAAATCAAGGATATGTATATAATAATAGATTGAAGCTAATCGGATGCTTGGCATTAGGCAAAAAGCCCGTTGCAAATGGTCCTTAGATGGACCCTAAAACTCAAGCTTCTTTCATGGAATCATTAACATGAAGATAAACAACTCTAGAATTAATGATATCAATGTTAACAGATCAAGGATCTCAAGTTTAGATAACATAAAGGATGAGATTTTCAAATTTTATAAACATAAATTCCAAGATCCATTTCCCTTCGGGCCTAGATTCCAAAGCGATAAAGTGAAAAAAAAAAAAAAAAAAAAAAATCATTGAGACCCAAAATACGGATCTTGAAGCGTGGTTTAGAGTCGAGGAAGTTAAGTCAATTGTTTGGGGATTGTGGTAATGAAAAAGCGTGGTGCCGGATAGTTTCACTTTTGTATTAATCAAGAGATTTTGGGAGACTGTAGGGCAAGATATTTTCTTGGCAATTAAACATTTTAAAGAACTAGTAAAAAAAATGTTTTTTTTTATCCGCAATGCCCTATTTGGGATAAAATGGTTGTTTTTGCTATAAGAAAAAGTTTTTTTTTCAAATACACATTAAAAATTGGTTAGATTACTTTATTGTAACTTTAAATAGATGCCCTAAACTATGTTTTCATGGTTTTTTTTTTAAGAGAAATTAAATTGATTTCATATTTTCTTAACTAACTTATTATAACTATATATGAATATATCAAATAAAATAAAATTAAATGATGATTTGTAATTATTTTACTGTGTAAGAATAATTGTAGGTATAAAAAATAGGATGTAATTTAATTTGTCTTATACAATTTTATAAACTTTTTGGGAAAAATATGATTAAATATTGTATGCAAAATAGAATGATAGAGACATGACTCGATGGGTCATGGATGACCTAAAAAGTTTTTAGTAACATTTGTTTAGCTAGGCTGCTTTAATAATGCCTAGACATAGTCGATTAATTTCTAAATGAAATAAATTATCAAGTAAAGATTATTTTTATTAAATATCATTTTCTGATTAAATTTTTCTGTAATTTTCTGCTTTTATTTTGAATAATTTTAAATCCACATGATATTTTATAATTTTTCTTAATTAAATTAAATTAATATGACACATAATCTCAAATTTATGTATCTAATGTATTAAATACATCGAATATGATAATAAATACAAATAATCTTAGAAAAAAAAGATTAAATTGCTAAATTAACCTTATTTGATAGATAAATTTAAAATTAGAACTATTAAGTAAATATTTTTTTTTTCTAATCCATCATTTTGATGAAAAACTCATGTAAATTCGTATCTATATATATTTGGAAGTAATATTTCCACTTTCATATTTTAATTCATTCACTTAATAAATTTATATTTTACATTTTATGTCCTTCTTAAATCACATCAATAAAATCATCATACCCCTTAGCTTCATTTCAAAATTTATTTTTATTTTATCACCGAATTAGTTTTGATTTATACTATTACTTTTTTTGTTTTAATTATGATTTTATTTAAAAAAACGAATAATTATATATTTTAATTAAATCCTATTGAAATACATCGTTGTAAAATTCGTTAATATTTAATACATAGTTTTTAATATATTTTTCTTAAATCAACCCGAGTAATACATGAGTTTTTAACGGAAGAAGAAAAGACATTATGAATACTTCATAAAGTTCTTCCAGCATCATGTCAAAATGTAAAATTCAAATTCTAAGATTAACGAAAAAATAAGGCTTAGTCTTCAAACATCTCATATTGAAGAAACAACATTTGCAAACAATCTATTAAATATAGGGGAAAGAAAGGTAGGTGGTTTAAACGATGGCAAGACATTTACTGAAATTTCGAATGCTCTTCTAATTATGGATTCTTTTTATCCTATTAACTCATTAGTTGAATATATTTTATTTTGAATTTTACTTTAAAAAATATTTAATGTTTATATTTTGATATTTAACTTATTTTAATCAACATGTATAACATACGGATCTCACACCTGGTATACATAATATAACAACTTATTGTTATCTTTTTTTTGCATGACATTTTGCGATTATTAAACCCACCTAAAATAAAATGTAAGGAATTTTAAAATAGGATAATAAAAGTGATTAGATGATTATTAGAAATATAGGGAAATTATCTAATTTTTGTTTAAAATAAATGATACATTTTGAATTTTAATAATATAAAATATTCATTTTTTTATTTGCATCAAACATTTATTAAATATTTTTTTCTTTTTTTAAATTCAAAACATTAAATATGGGAGATAATATTTCCTACTCTTCTCAATTAATCCACTATTTTTAAAATAAATTGAAAATTTTATCCCTCGGTTATATTTAAAATATGATTAATTATTTTAAGGCATCGTTTATGTCGTCTCTTAATCTCCCATTAAAATTGAAAATCACCAGAGAATCTTCGTCTCTTTATAATCATCCATGCGGTTTGAAGAAGGATCTTCGCATCATTAATTCACGAGGCTGCAACAATCGTCATTCACAACCCTCTGTTTGTGCTTGTAGATGTCGTCGTTCATTGTATTAGTGCCAACTATACATTACACCTCAATGGGTTTATTTGTCATTTTTGTTCCAGGTCTTTGGTACTAGATTTATATGTTTGTAACTTTCACACACATTTCTAGACATCATATAATCATTCACTTATATAGATTTGAATTTGAGGAAAGAGATATTATTGTCGTTTTCATTGAACTCAAGTTGCTTTTTATCTATCTGCTATTACACTAAGTTTATTGTGGAATTGCATATAAATTTCCATGATTTTTATATAATATTGTATGTAGAGTAGTAGAGTGGAGTTTAAAATGGTGAATTTTTTGGAGGTTTGAAGTTTGTTGTATGGAAGTTAATGTCGGTTCGTAATTTACTAGAAAGAGGTAAAACTTGATGTCTCATGCTTTGTATGGCTAAATATATCAAGATTAAGTTTGATTTTGGCTTTCTATTATTGTTCTATTTTAAGATCAAAACCGAAGTTAGAAGTCAAATGTATGTGAGGGAGGAACAGGTTCAAAGGC